TAAATAAATAAATGTCCAAATAAATAAATAAATAAATAAATAAATGTCCAAATAAATAAATAAATAAATAAATGTCCAAATAAATAAATAAATAAATAAATGTCCAAATAAATAAATAAATAAATAAAAAGAAAAAGGTACAACTGCATCAACTTTTTGTGGCTTGTAAACAACTACTAGAAATAGAAGCAGTACAATGATAGAAATGGAGTCTCTTATCTGTGTAAGTGGAATAGTAAGTAAGTTTATTCAGGTATACAAAAATAGTGACAGATCATCATACATAGCAGCATATGTGTAGAGAACCTAGAATAACCCAAAAGAGTTAGACAGAGTGACTTATTTCCATTGGGGTCCTTTTAATACCTTATTATTATACTATAAGGGATATAATATCTTAATATTTTACTATAAAGGATATATACTAGGAATAAGGTAAAAAGAGTTATTTACATTTATATGTGTGTTAGCTAAAAAAAATAAGAATTCATTCTCCTCCCTTTTTGTCACTATATTCATTAGCTACCTTTTGGCTCTCTTCTTGAATTGGTTCATGCTATGGCTAGCTTTGACATGTGCAGGCAATCTGTTCCATTCCTTTATTGCTGTGCAATAAAAGGTATTTGAAGCCTGGCCACTGGCTGTGGGTACTACAAAGTTGTGCTCTCTCCCTCTAGTACTATGATTGCTGCAGTTCAAAGCCTTGACAAAATTGGCAGCAAGATATTCTGGACACTGTTTGTGAGCAATTTTATAAACTTGATTTAACTTCAGTTGTTTTACTCTGTCTTCAATATTCAGCATATACAACTGCTGTAATTCATCCTGGCCTACATGTTCTCTTGGACCCACATCCAGGATGAATCTTACCATTTTGTTCTGGGTGATTTGCAGTTTATCTTCAGCTTTTTGCCAAGGCAGAGTACCATGAAGAGCAAGCATAGTCCATATGACATTGTGTAAGGGCTAGACACAGGATCCTGCAAGCCTCAGTAGATAGACATTGTGCTTGTCTGTAGAGGAACTTCAGTCTGGCATTCACTTTCCTAACTACACTGTTCCCAATCAGTTCTCCTGACATGCATGGGTCAAAGGGGATTTCCAGATATTTTACTGAGGAAACTAAAGTGATGGGTTCCCCATTACACCGGACATTAAAATTATTTACCCTTCTTTCGTGCCAAAGAGTATGGCTTCTGCTTTCCCAAGGTGTAACGATAGTTTGTCTACTAACCATTTGCTGCAGGACTCCAGTTCCATTGTTATTACATAAGCTATATCTTGTGGGTCTTTACCTGGCACTAATAGAGCATTGTCATCAGCATACAGTAGGAATTTGCATTTGACACTGATGGGCATGTCATTTACATAACATAAGAATAATAAGGGACCCAGAATACTATCTTGGGGAACTCCACATGCTATTGGCAGGGGTTCTGATTCTGTTTTGTTGATTTTGACAATTTGTTTCCTATTGCTAAGACAGGACTGAAATCAGTCTATGGAACCTGTGCCAATACCCTGAAGTTTCTTACAAAGTATACTGTGGTTGACAGTATCGAAGGCCTTTTGCAAGTCTAAGGTTACCATTCCTATGAAGTTCCCTATCGACATTTTAGTTCTTATGTAATCCATCAAATACATATTCCTCTTAGCAAAGCAGCACTTCATACAAAAGCTTAGTCTCTCTTTATGGCAGTGAAAGAAAACGAGGTTCATGCAAAAACTGAAGAAACTTTTATTGCAAGCAATAGCTGGTTTGAGTGTTTTAGAAATCAAATTTCAAAGTGCACACCAGGGTCCAAGAATTTAAAAAAAAAAAAATTATTTTTTCTTTTGAAATGGTAGAGAATCTTTTTCTGAAGGTAATAAAACAAAAAGTACGAAATTTGATGGAAAATTGACGAAATTATGCTCTTGCGAATTTTGATGTGTCAGCGATATTTACGAATCTGGGATTTTGCCGACTTTGACTCCCATTTTAGGCCAATCACATTATTCCAGTCGACCAAATTCTTAGCTATTTCACTAGAATTACTTCTATTCTATCGACTGAGCAAAAGAAATCGCCAAGTCAACTGTTTCAACTACAAAATAAAGTGATCAGAAATTGGTAATTTGGCCAATTTAACACAAAGTTCAAAATATTCCAATTTCAAAACAGGGTCCAGAATAAACAATGTAGGTATTCCTGGCACTAAACTAACATTTCCTCTGTTCATTAGTACGTTTTGAGGCTTTACAAGTGAATTCCATTTTGATTTTTTATTCACATAATGAATTTTTAGTCAAACCAAAAAATAGAAGATTTACTGTTATGCAATATTGTAATAATTGTATAAATATTATCACCACATTTCTGAATGTATATTAGACCCACCAGCTGGCGTGTATTAGATGTGTGAGGTTGTTTGTTTACTCTTGAACATCGGCAAAAATTTAACATTTCCTCTACTTTGAGCTCAGTTTCAAGCCATTTCCAGTACTAAAACCAATCAAAATCATCTCTATTTCTGTAATATGTCTTCCATTCTATCAAATGAGACCAAGAAATCGCAAATACAACTATAAAAAACATACGAAAAAACACTGCAAAGTTGCTGTTTTAATCGAAAAATCATGATTTAAGTTTTTTTCTCTCATTATACACAGTGTGCTGTAGGATCTGTTTTATGTGGCGCACACATACCACATAGATGTATTCTCTCATATCTAGGCCCAAATGTACCACTCACAGTTTATCAGAGTGAGCTGAGCTCATGGCGTAGATCTACGGTTTGGACCCTGAACGTAAAGCCGTAGATCTACGGGACGGACCCTGAAAGGGTTAATATGCTCACTTAGCAGGATTCATTATTCATACAAATCGAGGCTTTGCTGTACCTGTATTTATATTATTCTTGTGTAGTGGATCATTTCTTATTTTTACTGAGAGAATTTGGTTAATAAATTTGAGTTAGGGAAACTTACTTTGTTGAATTTAATGTTTTTTCCTGAATTATATTTTTATCAAATCTATTTTATTATTATTTTTTTATGCAACCATTGAGTTTTTATTCTTTATGTACAAATCAGTCAGGAAATATAGATTTTTAATGTCACAAATGTGTGTCCTATTAATCTTGTTTAAAAGATAATAATAAATACAAAAAAAATGTTCCAAGTAAACCCTTTTACTGTTAGCACACCCTAAATTGAAACTACTTAAAAAATAATAGATTCTTTTTTTCTAAAGGTAATGACACCAACTAAATCAAATTTGATGCATAATGCTAATGGCATAACATGGGTGCAAAATTGGAGAATATGGAGAACTTTATGCAATTTCACTCAATTTAAACCCAATTCCTTGCCATTTTGCTAGTATACCTTCTCTATCCAGAGATAGCAAGAGACTAAACATTCAACCATCAGAACTACCCTATTTAAGCACCAAGAAGTCTGTAATTTGACAAATTTTAAACTATTTCAAGAAATTGCAATTTAGTTCTTTCACTGTCTCCCATGCAGATCTACATCACTGAAACCAGTGTCATTCACGTAGATCTATGTTTTAAGTACAGCTTCCTCAAATATATCCGAATGGTAAATTTTGGCTGGCCTAGACATAAGGGAATGGGTCGGTGTTGTGGGTGTGCATTAAAAAAAAAAAAAAAAAAAAAAAAAAAAAAAAAAAAAAAAAAAAAAAAAAAAAAAAAAAAAATTGTTTGGTTTAAAATAGCAACTCTGAGGTGTTTTCTTTGGTAGTATTTTACTGGCTATTTACTTGGTATTAATTGATATTGTTCCAAGTGTTAGAAACATTAAAGTTTTGATATTTGATAATATTCCTGTCTGTGTTATGAGCTTTTATTAGGTTTGCTTCAATTATTGGGAGGGCCTAAACCATGACAAACATTTTTGGTTATATATGAATTTCATTTATCCAAGAAATAGGGTAAAACTTTGATTTCTTGTGTGATGATGGATTAAAAATGGAGGGCAAGTATTATATATGAGTGGCCTGGAGACATGATTAATGAACAGATGATTGGTTGCTTTAGTAGCTGGAATGCCTACAGCGTTCATTTTGAACTTCGTCGAAAGTTCAGTTTTTTTAATTTTACGTAAAACTCTCCAAATTACTGACTGGGTAGTTCTGATAGTTGAATAGAATGAAAGGCACAGCAGCAAAATAGCTAGGAAGTGGGTCAAATTGAGCATTGAAATTGGCTTAAAATAGGACTCCAATTGGGCAAAACTGCCAGTGAGTAAATTGTGCCCAGACCATCAACTTCGTGCCAGTGTAATTCCTTAAGTTTTCCATCAAATTTTGCACTTTTGGTGTCATTACCTTCAGAAAAAAAAATTCTTTACCATTTATTAAGATATTTATCTTTTTAAATCTCGATACTGTCAGCACTTTCAATTCCAGGATTCGTGATAGTGAAAGGGTTAAAAACAGAATCAGAAACAAATACTGAGGGTATTCTAGACAATAAAGCAACCTTCCCTCTGTTCATTAATCATGTCCCCTGGCCTCTCCTCTACAACATTTATTCTCTACAGTGGAACCTCAGTTTTCGTTTGCCCTGGTTTTCATCGGATTCAGTTTTCGAAGACTTTTTTCGTCAAAATTTTGTCCCAGTTTTTGTTCATCCCCTGGCCTCTCCTCTACAACATTTATTCTCTACAGTGGAACCTCAGTTTTCGTTTGCCCTGGTTTTCATCGGATTCAGTTTTCGAAGACTTTTTTCGTCAAAATTTTGTCCCAGTTTTTGTTCATCACCTCTGTTTTCATCGAGCTGACAGTGGTCCGCCATACTGAATGTGTCCAACTGTGCTCACACAAAGCATCCCACACATTCTGAGTCAGTCTGGCTTCATTTCTCATCAGTAGAGGGTGGTGGTAGAGGGTGGTAGTGATGGTGGTAGAGGGTGGTAGTGATGATGGTAGAGATAATTTCTCCTCCCTCTCCCCTCCTCACCATCTTCCATACACCAACGAGTCTTCAATAAAGGTAAAAGTGATGTTAAATGTTCATTTATCCATTTCATTAGTCTTTTATATCTAATGACCATATGAACTACAGTGGACCCCTAGTTATCGGCTGTAATCCATTCCAGAAGGTCGGCCGAAAACTGAATTAATATTTCCCATAAGAATTAATGGAGATACAATTAATCCGTTCCAGGCAAAAATATTCACAAAAAAATAATTTTTTTAACAATTATGTAAGTATTACATACCTTTATTGAAGGCTAATGCTGGCTTCTGGAAGATAGGGAAGAAGAAAGAGGGAGGAGTTAGTGTTTGGAAGGAGAATCCCCCTCCATAAAGACTTAAGGTAGCAAAGCCTTCTCTGGGGTTACTTCCTTTCTTTGTCTTCTGATGCCACTAGGACCAGCTTGAGAGTCACTGGACCCCTGTCTCACAAAATAACTGTCCAGAGTGCTCTGTTTCTGGCGTCTCTTTAAGATTTCCCTGAAGTGGGACAGGGTTTTGTCACTAAACATGGTGCAGATATGGCTTGTTTCAGCTTTGTCAGGGTGGTGTTTCTCTACAAACGCTTGCAACCTAGTCCACATTGCACACACCTCTTTAATCTCTGAAGCAGGCACCTCCTTCACTCCCTCTTCCTCCTCCTCTGAAGCAAGTTCCTCAGCTGCAGTCTGTTGCTGTTCAAGTTGAAGCTCTTGCAGCTCTTCAGTAGTTAGATCTTCCTTGTGGTCCTCCACCAACTCTTCCACATCCTCGCCACTCACCTCCAATCCCAGGGACTTCCCGAGTGCCACAATAGAGTCCACAGGGTCGTCAGGGTCAGCCTCAAACCCTTCAAAATCTCTCTCTTGGACAGAATCTGGCCACAGTTTTCTCCAAGAAGAGTTCAAAGTCCTGGAAGTCACTCCCCCCCCAAGCCTTACCTATAAGGCTTATGCAATGGAGGATAGTGAAGTGATTCCTCCAGAACTCTCTTAGGGTCAACTGAGTGTCCGAGGTCACTTAAAAGCACTTTTGAAATGCTGCTTTTGTGTAGAGTTTTTTGAAGTAAGAAATGATCTGCTGGTCCATCGGCTGGAGGAGAAGAGTGGTGTTAGGAGGCAAGAATTTCACTTTTATAAAACTGAAGTCCCTAAACACTTGGTCTTCCAAGTCTGGAGGATGTGCAGGAGCACTGTCCAGTACCAGGAGGCACTTGAGTGGCAATTTCTTTTCCAGGAGGTATTTTTTCACACTTGGGCCAAACACATCATTAACCCACTTTTTGAAAATTTGCCTTGTGACCCATGCCTTATGATTAGCTTTCCACATCACACACAATCTATTCTTCATGACATTGTTTTCCTTGAACACTCTGGGATTTCCTGAGTCATACACAGGTAAAGGCTTCACTTTGAAATCCCCACTAGCATTACCACACAATAAAAGAGTAAGCCTGTCTTTCATAGGCTTGTGTCCTGGTAGTGCCTTTTCCTCCTGGGTAATGTAGGTCCTGTTTGGCATTTTCTTCCAAAACAGGCCTGTGTTGTCACAATTGAACACTTGTTGGGGTTTGAATCCTTCAGCCTCTATGTACCCCTGGAATTCCTGCATGGATTTTTCAGCCACACATTTGTCAGAACTTGCTGCCTCACCATGCCTTACAACACTGTGTATGCCACTATGCTTCTTAAATCTATCAAACCATCCTTTGCTGGCAATAAATTCACAAACTGCAGCACATGTTCCAGGCATTTTCTTTGCAAGATCCTCATGCAACTGCCTTGCCTTCTCATAAATAATTGACTCCACAACACTGTCTCCCACTAATTCTTTTTCCTTAATCCATAATAATAATAACTTTTCCATCTCTTCCATTATTGGTGGCCTTTGTTTAGTTAGAAAAGTTACTCCTTTTGCAACATTAGCATCTTTAATTTGTTCTTTCTTTGCCAGGATGGATGTAATTGATTTATTTATTCTTGCTGTACATCCTGGCAAGTTCCACCACCTTCATACCACTCTCAAACTTTTCTATCACTTCACGTTTAAATTCCATGGTGTTTCTCACTTTCTTTACCACAGGAACTTTCTTTGGAGCATGGTTACTTATTTCACAGTTGCACTGCAAAAAAAAAAAAACACTAAAAACAATGGAAAACAAGCAAAAATGTTTGGATGTATGAGCAGAAGCTTCCTCAGCCACCGAGAGACAAAGCCAAACTGACGCGCAAGCGGCCCCAGCCGGTGGATGGACACGTCCCAAACAGCCAATAACCAGGTGCTGAAAAATTGGCTGATAACCAAGCTGGCCAATAACAGAACCCGACGATAACCTGGGGTCCACTGTATATATTATTGCCTTACTATTCTTAACTTAATCTTTAAGTTTGCCCGAAATGCTCAGCATACAGAGGGGCTTTTGGCATGTACACCCAACTATTATATTCCTCTGTACAACCATGTAATTTGTCTAAATAAAAAAATCTAAATCTAAAAAAAAAAAAAAAAAATCTATATTTTTTTGCTAATACTTTTGGGTGTCTGGAACAGATTAATTGGATTTACATTATTTCTTATAGGAAATATTGCTTCAGTTTTCGTCGAATTCAGTTTTCATCAGACTTTCTGGAATGAATTAGTGACGAAAACCAAGGTTCCACTCTATTTCAAATCCATCATCCAATCCAATCCACAAAAAGTTGACATTTTTTTCCTGTTTCTCAGCTTATAAACCATAACCGAAAGTGCATGCTCATGGGTCAGGCCATCAAATAATTGAAACAAATTTTGTAAAATTCCATAAAACAGTATGGGAAGATTACTCTTCCCAATGAATATCACCAAAAATTTACCATTTCTGCCATTCTGAAGCCTATTTTTGGCCACTTTCTGTCTGAAACTGACCAAAATCTTCTCCACTACATGCTCTTGTTCTTTCTATTGACACTAAGAAACAGCCAATAATACCACAAAAACCACCCTAAAAATGCCAAATTCACTACGTTAACATAAACGCAGGGTCATAGGTTAGCTGTTCCAATCACGTACTGCACAAGGCAGGATTTTTTACATTGCTCACACCTACCACACAGATCCAGTCTCTCATGTCTAGGCAGAAAAGTTGCTGCATTAGACAGAACTGTGAATTGTGTAAATCTACGTGAATGATTGATACCACTGATGTAGATTTACATGACTGACATTGAAAAGGTTAAATCTGACAGTTATCTGAACTTTGTTATTCTCTCCCATTTCTTAAAAATACATTTAATGATGTACGTAGTTGATCATCTCACCACTTGGATGACTCGAACACAAGGCAAGCCAGTTCTAAAACTTACAATTGTGTCATTACAATTTTGCAAGCCACTGGGTTGATTATTATGTTCATAGAAAAGACTACTGGGTTCATACAGCATTTCAGAACATGCAAGTGTTATCAATGAAAAGAATCATCACTGTCAGAAAGGAAAGCCATCTTAATTCAAACCAGTAGTATTTCCACTGGTTACAAGATCAAATGGCCTACTACATTACTGTATTATGAAAAATCAATCTGTTATATAACACTTTTAATCTACCTTATGTAAGTGGTGAAAACAATAAAAAAAAACGTTACAAGTCAACCTATTCTATGAAGGATAAACAATCACAATGAACTTACAGTTTGGAAGTGGATTTTAAAGAATGTTTTAGTCTGTCCTAGACCATTATCAAGTCTTAAGTATCTTGTGGCTATATACTGATCAGGACCAATAGAAAATTTCTCTAGTTTCCATTTCCAATTCTTTGGGGGAATTGTAAACCATTCAACTGAATTTTAACAAATATTTGTTCTATAACAATAAACATTATGGTGGATATTTGTCCACTTTGTTTTGCATACTCTTAGCAATATCTTATATCATTATTGTCTACATGGTCACAGCACCAGCCACCCCATAATCAAGACATCAAACAAAAATTAAAACTTCAACAAAACTTAACAAAGAAGATACTCAGTACCGTTTATGCACTGTCATCGGTCCTTCCACTGGTCTGAAACAAATATATATTTCCAAAATATTAATACCTACCATAATGCAGTGAAATCACATGACCCCTAAACCCAAACTGCAACTACTAAAGTCTACAATAATTTAAAGTTTAATAAGAATTTATAAAAAATAAGTTTTTATATTACTATACAGTAAGTAGCCCACCTACAACATTAATTATTTTCTGAAATTGCTCGTAAGTCCACTGCTCTGAACTCTAAACCTATTTTCCCAGACATATCCATGTTATAATCAGAGATGCATTCCCAAGCCATAATATTCCATACTTAATTTCATCTTTATTTTTACCACCAAAGAATATATACCCAAGTAAGTTTTCGTTTAGGCATCATATAATTTTAAATTTTTACAGTGGTTTTGTACTAAATTACGTCAATAAAATCAGAGTGATTTATTTCCACTGTGGTCTCTGACCTAACATTTAACATTGCTCCTTTTTGCCTATAAACAGTATTAAACACTGTTTTGTGCTTAATACTATTTATGTAATAACACAGTATGCAGAACAGTACTATATAAAGGTGTTGAGACCGGCGGAAGTTGAACGGTCTCAGTGGCTGTCATGTACAACTGTCATTGAGGATAGGGTTACTCATGTAGTTCTATGACATGAGCTCATCTCACTCAGATAAGCCCTGAGCGGTAAATTTTGGCCTAGATATGAGAGAAAGGGTCTGCATGGTGAGTGTGCACAGTATAAAAAAAAAATTCTGCTCCATGCAGTGCATAATGAGAAGAACAAAACGGCCATTTTATGGTTTAAAAATAGCAATTTTGAGGTGTTTTCTCAGATAGGTTTTATGGTTTTATTGGCTGTTATTTGATATCAGTTGATAGAACAGAAAACATACTACTGAAATAAGAAATTATTTTGGTTAGTTTCAGGACTGCAACTAGCTTGAAACTGAGCTCAAAGCAGCAGAAATATTCCTCTGAAGATGTGTGTGTAAGCACATGAAAGCACTCAGGTTTTATTTCCTATTTTCACTGTCATATTTTTCACATTTTCACTCACACTCACCTAAATAAGTATGTATAAAATTACTCAAATTGTTACTGCCTTATTAACCCTTCAACGGTCCAAACGTATATATACGTTTTTTCAACATCTGAAAGTATGTAAAAAAAACTTTTATCTACATTTTTTTTTGTTATATTTGAAAATATGTAAAAAAAATAGATCTACTTTTGGAGCATTATGAATTTGAACGTCGATCTGTTTGGACAGTTTAAGGGTTAATCTTAAGTTAGTCTTAAGTTTGCCCAAAATACTGTGCACATTGAGGGGGTTTTCTGCATGCACATCTAAATGTCATTCACATTTGTACATTGTATCATGCTGAAATAAATTATTATTATTATTATTATTTCCAGTTATTCCTTTATAACGCATTTGGTGTGCTATTACATCATGACTGCAAGTGTTGAAATCTTTCGCAAAGTCAATCATCCAGAGCATCCAAGACCATGTCATAGTGGTCCAGTAGTTGTGAAAGGCAGGAGCGACGTGCTCTAAACCTATGCTTGCCCTGGGTTGCGCAAGTGATGGATATCTAAGTGGATGGTGATCTCACTTAATAGAACCCTTTCAAAGATTTTTACAATGTGATACATTAGTGCTATCGGTTTGTAATTTTTTTGCAATTGTTTTACTGCTATCTTTGTGGAGTGGCGCTATGTCTGTTCTTTTTAGTAACTGTGGGATAACCTGTGTCCACACTCCCTCTCCACAGAATGCTAAAGGCACGTGAAAGGGATTTCTTGCAGTTCTTGATGACCATGGAGTTCCACAAATTTGGGTCTGGGATGGACTGCATGGGCATGTCATTTTTATTACCTTTTCATAGTCCTGTGGTGTTTAATATCAAAAATTCTTGAATTAACCAAATTTTGAGTCTCGGTCATAAAAAATTCATTTAAACTGTCAACCCTTAGTCTGATTAAAAGCTCACTAAATGCTGAGTCATACTGGGACTTCAGTATCTCACTCATTTATTTGCTGTCATCTGTGTAAATCCCATCTCATTTAACGCTTTCATTATCCAGATCCCTGATCTGAAACTTCTCCACACTGTCCAAGAATTTAAAACACAAAAAAATTGTTATTTTTTCTTATAAAATGGTAGAGAATCTTTTTCTGAAGGTAATAAAACAAAAAGTATGAAATTTGATGGAAAATTAATGAAATTACACCTTTGCAAATTTTGCTGCATCAGCGATATTTATGCATAGGCGATTTTGCCCACTTTGAGTCCTATTTTAGGTCAATTACAATGTTCCAGTCTACCAAATTCTTTGCTATTTTGCTAGTATGTCTTCCATTTTATTGACTGAGCACAAGAAATTGTCCAATCAACTATTTCAACTACCCAATAAAGTGACAAGAAATTGGTAATCTGGTCAATTTCACACAAATTTCAAAACAGGGTTCAGAATAAACAATGCAGGCATTCCTAGCAGTAAAGTAACATTTCCTATGTTTATTAGTTACATTCCCAGGCTTTACAGATGAATTCCATTCCCATTTTTTATTTACACAAAGAATTTTTATTCACACAAAAAAATAGAAGATATACTGTTGTGCAATATTGCAATAAACGTATAAATAATATCAGCGCATTCGTGAGAGCATATCAGACCTACCAGTTGGATGTGTATTGGATGAGTGACATGACTTGTTTACTCTTGAATATCAGCAAAAACTGAACATTTCTACTACTCTGAGCTCAATTTCAAGCTTATTTTCAATCCTGAAAGCAACTAGGTGAGTACAAATAGGAAGCATGTCTGTCTGGCGCTCAGCAGACGGAGGATCAAGCCTCCACAACGTCATGCGCTGAATGATCCCCATGGATTTAGCGCTTAACATAAATTATTAAAAAAAAAATATTATTCAATCCTGAAACCAATCAAAATCTTCTCTAATTCTGTAATGTATCTTCCATTCTATCAAATGTGATCAAGAAACTGTGAATGCAACCATAAAAACCATTTGAAAATACACCATAAAGTCACTGTTTTAAATAAACAACATGATTGCAGTTTTTTCATTATACACTGCGTGCTGAGGGATGTCATACCTTTTAGGCAGAGTCAAACAAGCAGAATTGCCATACAGATAGATTTTTTATATCTCTCATACACTGACAGAAACATTTTTGTGACTTAAAATAGTATATAAACATACAATAGACCCTCAGTTAACTCGGATAGCACCAAAATCGGATAACGCCTCGCTTTGGCGTGAAAAAATTGGCTCAGATAACACCTAAAAACTCGGTTAGGAGCTTTCATCCCGAACAAGTCAGCACGGCTGCCTGAGTGGGCCCAGCCACTCACTCCGTGTACCATTGTTTACAAAGCCAGTGAGGATGATTCCACGTGTACATGCAGAGGCGTTGTAAGGGGGGGCGCCCCGGGTGACACCATTTAGGGGGTGACACCATAGAGCCTCTAAAGATGGTAACACTAATGACCAAAACCATGCTGTAGCAACCTAAGAGAAAAAATTTTCATTTCCATATAGCCTGTTATAGGATTACATAGTACAAATAGGTCTATATAGGGAAAATCACTGATTTTGATGATGTGATAGATGATTTTGCAGGACTGAAGGCAAGGAAATGAAATATCAGATTCTTTGAGATGTTACCTGACTCAAGGTTAAATCGGAACTAGTGTTTTTCTTTATTTTTCAAGTTTTTTTTTTTTCATTGTTGAAGATGAACAAATGTAGGATCTGTTGCCTATATTAGATATTATACTCAAAGTGGTATTAAAGTTTATATTTCCTCATTATTACTACAATTATTTATTTTATTATTAATAAAGTTCGGTTTATGGTCTTTAAACGTTCTCATTGCTAAACATTAGTCACTGGGCATGCAACAGTGAAGTAACTGGAGTTTACTACCCCTATTCCCCCGCCCTTGGATTTCATGGGGGTGACACCAAAGATGCCGCCCTGGGTGACACCAATGATTCTGCCCTTGGTGACACCAACTCTAGCAACGCCTCTGTGTACATGAGATATATTTTGTATTATTCCATTGTTTTTGGTGCTTGTAACTGCTAAATAAGCCACCATGGGCTCCAAGAAAGCTTCAAGTGCCAGCCCTATGGTAAAGAATGTGAGAAACACATATAATTTAAGAAAAAGTTTGTAGAAAAATACGAAAGTGGTGGTGGTAGAGGGTGGTAGTGATGGTGGTAAAGGGTGGTAGTGATGGTGGTAGAGGGTGGTAGTGATGGTGGTAGAGGGTGGTAGTGATGGTGGTAGAGGGTGGTACTGATGGTGGTAAAGGGTGGTAGTAATGGTGGTTGAGGGTGGTAGTGATGGTGGTAGAGGATGGTAGTGATGGTGGCAGAAGGTGGTAGTGATGGTGGTAGAGGGTGGTAGTGATGGTGGCAGAGGGTGGTAGCAATGGTGGTAGAGGGTGGTAGTGGTTGTGATGGTGGTATGGTATGATAAGGCATGGTGAGGCTCCCAGTTCTGACAAAAAAGCGACTGAAAAATATGTGCAGGACTTTAACCCTTTGACTGTTTTCGACGTATAAATACGTCTTACGAGCCAATGTTTCTGACGTATATATACTCAATAATTCTAGCGGCTTCAAATCAAGTGGGAGAAAGCTGGTAGGCCCACATGTGAGAGAATGGGTCTGTGTGGTCAGTGTGCACCACATAAAAAAAATCCTGCAGCACACATTGCGTAATGAGAAAAAAAAAACTCTGATCGTTTTTTTGGAATAAAACGCCGACTTTGAGGTGTATTTTCGTATAGTATTTATCGTTGTATTCGCGTTTTCATGGTCTTAGGTGATAAAATGGAAAACATATTACAGAAATAGAGATGATTTTCATTACTTTTACGATGAAAACGACCTTGAAACTGAGCTCAAAGTAGCGGAAATGTTCGATTTTTACCAATGTTCAAGAGTACATAAATCACACCACACGTCCAATACACGTCAACTGGGGAGTCTAATATTCTTTCACTAGTGCACTGATATTATTTATACCATTTTTACAATAATGCAGTCGTCTGCATAACAGTAAATTTTGTATTTTTTTGTATGAATAAAAAATCAAAATAGAAAGCAATAATAATATAAGAGGGGCCTAGAGATGTGACTAATGAACAGAGCATATGTTATTTTAGTGCCACGAATGTCTACCTTGTTTATTCTGGACCCTATTTTGAAATTGGCATCTTTTTTATTTTGCGTGAAATTGGCCAAATTGCCAATTTCTGACCACCATATTGGGTAGTCCAAATTAGTAAATGGGAGGTTTCTTGTACTCAGCTGATAGATAAAATGGAGTTCTAATGAAATAGCTATGAGTTTGGTCAACTGGAACAATGGAATTGGCTGAAAATTGGGCTCAAAGTCGGCGAAATCGCCGATACGCATATGTCGCCGAGACCGCTAACTTCGCGGGAGCATAATTCCACGAGTTTTCGACCAAATTTCGAACTTTTGGTGTCATTACCATCGGGAAAAGATTCTCTATCATTTCATAAGAAAAAATAATTTTTTTTTTTTTTCAAAAATTGAGCGACATAGAATGACAGTTTCAGAGAGGGGCCTGAAACAGTCAAAGGGTTAAGGGGTATATAGAGGCTGAAAAATTAGAACCACAACAAGTGTTTAATTGTGACAAAACAGGCCTGTTTAGGAAGAAAATGCCAAACAGGACCTACATTACTAAGGAGGAAAAGGCACTCCCAGGACACAAGCCAAAAAAAGACTTGTTACATGAAGTCTTTGTGGAAGGGGATTTCCCTTCCAAACACTAGAACACCTTCAACCTCTGCCCTACTCCTGTCTTATCACTCATCAACAAGTCCACAATAAAGGTAAGTGTGATGTTATTATTGTTTTATTCCTCATGTATCATTGTTTTCTGTGTAGGGGAATGTATATTTCATGTAAAAAAATTTTTTTGTTTAATACTTTTGGGTATCTGGAACAAATTAATTGGATTTCCATTATTTCTTATGGGAAAATTAATTCAATTAAAGGCTAATTCAGTTAAAGGCTAGCTCTCTGGAACGGATTCAAGGCGTTAACCGAGGGTCCACTGTATTTTATTTTGCATTATAACTAATATGTCAACCCCTTGCTTAACTTTTCTAAAATAAAATAATACAACATAGATCAATTCTACCAAACCTATCATGATTCAGCTGAAATTTAGCTACAGATAGTATTACTTAATACTAAAAAAATATATTAATTATGTGTTATTCAGATTTATTACAACAACAAAATTATACTTGGATTATTTGGCTAAACAATTACATATTGTATTGCTTTACAAGCCAACTGTAAGTTTTGCCCAAAAACCAAGACATAAACATGCCACTTATGTACAGAAGCTGCAGTTAGCCACCTTGTAGAGCAGTACAACAGTTAGACCTTGTAGCACATGGAAGAATGGAACAAACTTTTCAACTTAGAGCTACCATTACATTTTCCAACTTTTAATTTAAAATTTACTGTGCTTGATTACAGTGTTATAATGCATATGCTACTGAAGAATTCAACATCTGTAAACTTCTTGTGGAATGCATTCCTCACAGATACTCGGGCAATACAATATATTTACTATATTATTGTGCAAACTTATACTTGGTCTCGCCATATTTTTATTGCAGCTTGCTCAACCTAACCTAAGAATTTAGCTGAATAAGACATGAGTGAATAAAGTATGATTAAATATTCTTTACCTGTCATACACTCATTATAAAACTTATTAATCCTGATGTGACATCATGCAAGTCGACAAAAACAATGCATTAAATATAATTATTTTTAACATACTATGAAGCATTGCTCTACAATGTCGACATTTTAATCACTGTACATCATTCTGATTCTTTCTATAAAAATAGCCCTTCAAGACTAACCTCTCATCCAGCCGCCTCCTCAGATCTTCCAACTCCAGTGGACGGATATCTATGTCATCCGATGACTCACTCGCTGTTCTCTCAAACAGGACCATCTTGGTGGAAAATTAGCTGAAAAGACCAACACAAAAATCCTTTATTGCATTAATAATGGTATAATAATAATAATAATAATAATAATAATAGTAATAATAATAATAATAATAATAATGACAATAATAATAATAATAATAATAGTAATAATAATAATAATAATAATGACAATAATAATAATAATAATTATTATTATTATTACATTATTATTATTATATTACTCTTCCTCTTCTTTCCACAAACCGGCATTATCCCACCTAGGCAGGGTGACCCAAAAAGAAAAACAAAAGTTTCTCTTTTTAAATATAGTAATATGTATATATAAAGGAGACACGGTTACTAGCCCCTTGCTCCCAGCATTTTAGTTGCCTCTTACAGCCTGCATGGCTTACAGGAGAAGAATTCTGCTCCACTTCCCCATGGAGATATTACATTACTATTGTTAATAATAACACTAATAAAATTATTATTATTTTATTTTCAAAAAAAAGCAAACACAAAACAATTTTTGTGATAGGTGCATAAAATGCTCAGCATTTTGGGAAAACTGAAATCTGAACTAAACCTACCTAAAGTAGTACTAAAAAACATACATAGATGTGGAGTTGGTTTAGCTTCACATAAAAGATGGAAAAAACAGAATGTGTATGATTATGAAGGGTTTTCTCTGGCATTAATTTTAAATGACATTTGATTACAAACATTTTTAAATTACATGTATTTTACTTTTTTTTGCATTTACTTCATATTTTTCCATAAGCCCATACACTTTTCCACTGAAATATTTCATCTACTGTCCCTGTTTATTCTATACCTTAAGTGAAGGGCTAGTACAGTGGAAACTCTACTTGCAAGTTTAATCCGTTCCATGACCTTGCTCGCAACTGGATTTGCTCGTTTGCAAAGTCAATTTTCCTCACTTAAATTAACTGAAATGCAATTAATCCGTTCCAGTGGAATTCTGTACTTTTATAATTTCGCTAATATCAACTCTACGGCTTATTTATCTATCTCACTTCATGTAATATGACATAACAAACAATATAAGTAACATAGAACCCTGATATATACTCTAGAATGAATAAAATATGTCATTATGTAACAGGTGGAGGCAGCCACAACTGCTCCCTCTTTGTTGTGGTAAACACTGCCATCTAGTAACGGCCTTTTGAAGCCATCTATTATTATAATTATTATTTAGGACATTATTATTATAGTATATGCATTATTATTATATATTAACCCTTTCAGGGGTCTGTGCCGTAGATTTTTGGCTTTATGTTCAGGGTCCAAACCGCAGATCTACGCCATGAGCTCAGCTCACTCTGATAAGCTGTGAGCAGTAAATTTGGGCCTAGATATGAGAGAATACATCTATGTGATATGTGTGCACCACATAAAACAAATCCTGCAGCACACAGTACGTAATGAGAGAAAAAAAAACTGAGGCCATAATTTTAAATTAAAACAGCAACTTTGCAGTGTTTTTTCGTATGTTTTTTATATTTGTATTTGCAGTTTCTTGGTCTCATTTGATAGAATGGAGGATATACTACAGAAATAGAGATGATTTTGATTGTTTTAGTACTGGAAATGGCTTGAAACTGAGCTCAAAGTAGCAGAAATGTTAAATTTTTGCCGATGTTCAAGAGTAAACAAATGACCTCACAAGTCTAATACATTACAGCTGGTGGGTCTAATATACATTCACAAATGTGGTGATATTATTTATAGAATTATCACAGTATTGCATAACAGCAAATCTTCTATTTTTTGGTTTGAATAAAAATTCATTATGTGAATAAAAAATCAAAATGGAATTCATTTGTAAAGCCTGAAAACATAACTAATGAACAGAGGAGATGTTAGTTTAGTGCCAGGAATGCCTAAACTGATTATTCTGGACCTTATTTTGAAATTGGAATATTTTCAACTTTGCATTAAATTGGCCAAATTACCAAAATCCTGTCACTTTATTTTGTTGTTGAAACAGTTGACTTGACGATTTCTTGTGCTCAATCGATAGAATAGAAGTAATACTAGTGAAATAGCTAAGAGTTTGGTTGACTGGAATACTGTAATTGGCCTAAAATGGGAGTCAAAGTCGGCAAAATCATTGATGCATAAATATCGCCGACACCAAAATTTGCGAGAGCATAATTTCATCAATTTTCCATCAAAATTCGTACTTTTCGTTTTATTACCTTCAGAAAAAGATTCTCTACCATTTCATAAGAAAAATACAAAATTAGTTTTTGAAAATTCTTAGACCCTGGTGCACACTTTGATATTTGGCCTCTGGACCCTGAAAGGGTTAAATTATTATTATTGTATTATATTATACTATTATTATACACATTATTATTATACATATTATTATTATTATTATTGTTATTATTATTAATATTACAATATATATAATTTGTATTTTTATTCACACAAAAAATATAAGAATTACTGTTATGCCTTATTGCAATTTTTTTTTTTTTTTCAATAAGTCGGCTGTCTCCCACCAAGGCAGGGTGACCCAAAAAAAAGAAAGAAAATCCCCAAAAAGAAAATACTTTCATCATCATTCAACACTTTCACCACACTCGCACATTATCACTGTTTTTGCAGAGGTGCTCAGAATACAACAGTTTAGAAGCATACACATATAAAGATACACAACATATCCCTCCAAACTGCCAATATCCCAAACCCCTCCTTTAAAGTGCAGGCATTGTACTTCCCATTTCCAGGACTCAAGTCCGACTATATGAAAATAACCGGTTTCCCTGAATCCCTTCACTAAATATTACCCTGCTCACACTCCAACAGATCGTCAGGTCCCAAGTACCATTCGTCTCCATTCACTCCTATCTAACACGCTCATGCATGCTTGCTGAAAGTCCAAGCCCCTTGCCCACAAAACCTCCTTTACCCCCTCTCTCCAACTCTTTCGAGGACGACCCCTACCCCGCCTTCCTTCCCCTATAGATTTATATGCTTTCCATGTCATTCTACTATGATCCATTCTCTCTAAATGACCAAACCACCTCAACAACCCCTCTTCTGCCCTCTGACTAATACTTTTATTAACTCCACACCTTCTCCTAATTTCCACACTCCGAATTTTCTGCATAATATTATAATATTATTATAATATTATATTATTGCATAATATTATTGCAATAATTGTATAAATAATGTCAACCATTCCTGACTGCATATTGGAATGGATAGTGACGTCATTTGTTTACTCTTGAACATAGCCAAGCAATCGAACGTTTCTCCTATGTTGAGCTCAATTTCAAGGTACTTTTCATCGTGAAAGCAATCAAAATCATATCTATTTCTGTAATATATCTTCCATTCTATCAAATGAAACCAAAAAACGAGAATACAACCATAAAAACCATATGAAAATACCGCTAAGGGGTGGCTAATTACCGAGAAGTGAACTCCATTATTTATGCTCCGATTTCTTTAATTTTTGGTGTACGTTAAAAAGTATCTTTCCATCATACATTGCCCAAGTTTCAATAAGATAGTCCAACAAACAAATGAGATACAATTCCCGAGATCAAGAGCAAGAGCACCTCACCAGTGTCAAGGAACCTGCCTTGAGGTCTGCTCGCTTATGGAAATTTTGCTCGCGTATGGAAACAAAAAAATCGACCTATCAACTGCTCGTATTTGGAAAAACTCGAATGTGGATGTGCTCGCAAGTAGAGGTTCCACTGTATTTAATTTAACGTCTTCATTCACCTAAAGGGTAATAAACTTTTAACCCAACCATTTAACCTTAATCAGCATGCACTTTTTAGAAAATAATTTTTTACAATTTATTACAATTATGATAGATTGCTAATTTTCTAATTTTGTACCCTTGTGTTCAATATTATACCTGGAGAGGGTTTCAGGGGTCAACACCCCTGAGGCCCAGTCTGTGACCAGGCCTCGTGGTGGATCAGGTCTTGATCAACGAGGCTGTTACTGTTGGCTGTACATACTGACATATGAGCCATAGCCCCGCTAGTCAGGTACTGACTTTAGGTGCCTGTCCGGCACCTTCTTGAATACAGCCAGGGGTCTATTTGTAATCCCCCTTATGTATGCTAGGAGGGAGTTGAACAGTTTTGGGCCCCTGACACTTATTGTATTGTCTCTTAGCATGCTCGTGGCACTCCTGCTATTGGGGATATGTTGCACTGCCTGACGAGTCTTTTGCTCTCACAGGGAGCAATTTGTAATGTGCAAATTTGGTAGTAATCCCTCTAGGATTTTCCAGGTGTATATTATTGCGTATCTTTCCTGCTTGCATTCCAGGGAGTACAAGTCAAGGAACTTCAACCATTCTCAGTAATTTAGGTGTTTTATTGTACTAAAGTGTGCTGTGAAGGCTCTCTGTACACTCTCCAGGCCTGCAATTTCACCTGCCTTGAAAAGAGCCATTAGTATACAGCAATATTCCAGCCTAAAGAGAACAAGCAAATTGAAGAGTATCATCTCGGGCTTGGCATCCCTAGTTTAGAAGGTTCTCATTATCCATCCCATCATTTTTCTAGCAGATGTGGTGGATACATTGTTGCGTTATCTGAGAGTGAGATCCTCTGACATAATCACTCCCAGGTCCTTCACATTAGTTTTTTGCTCTATTGTGTGGTTGGAATTTGTTTGATACTCTGATATAGTTTTAATTTCCTCAAGTTTTCCATATTCAGTCTCAGCTGTCAAGGATAACCTGCCACTCTTCATGACACAGCATCTCTAATTTTTACTGTCAGGTCCTTATTTAAAATCTCCATTACAAATTGATCGCATATGTACTCCAATTTGCAATCAAATCCATGGTCACCTGTAGTCACCAGCAGTGCTTTTAAACATGTGTACAGTCTCTTTAGGGCTGCTCTTTTAAACTACAGAAAGTTCTATGAAGTGTAAAAAAGTTTATTCACTAAGTAAAATAAGTACATTGGTACCTCGGTATACTTCCGCTTTGGAATAAGTCCAACTTGGTATACGTCGTGTTTGGACACAAAAATTTTTACTTAGTATATGACCTTTGTTTGGAATATGACTCACGTGCTAGAACTTGTATGGGTCAAAATGAGTCATGACACCGCACGCTATGCTTGTTTACCTCTCTGTGTCTATAGTGGAGGATATTGTCTCTCTGGGCAGGTCCATGGGTCTAGATGTCAGTGATGGTGATGTAGAGGAGTTAGTGGAGGAGCACAGGGAAGAGCTGACCACTGAGGAGCTGCAGGAACTTGAGGAGGAGGAGCACAAGACTAAGATGGATGCACTCTCTTCAGGCTCAGAAAAGGAGATAGAGGAAGCCCCTACTTTATTAACCCTTTGACTGTTTTGGCCGTATATATACGTCTTACGAGCCAGTGTTTCAGATGTACAGTAAATATACTCAATAATTTTAGTGGCTTCAAATCAAGCAGGAGAAAGCTGGTAGGCCCACATGTGAGAGAATGGGTCTGTGTGGTCAGTGTGAACTGTACAACAAAACTCCGACCGTGTCTCTGGATTAAAACAACGACTTTGAGGTGTATTTTCCTATAGTATTTATGGTTGTATTCTCATTTTCTTGGCCTCATTTGATAGAATGGGAAACATATTACAGAAATAGAGATGATTTTGATTAGTTTCACAATGAAAACGACCTTGAAATTGAGCTCAAAATAGCAGAAATGTTCGATTTTTACCAATGTTCAAGAGTAAGCAAATCACACCACACATTCAATATACGTCAACTGGGGAGTCTAATGTTCTTTCACTCGTGCACTGATATTATATATACCATTTTTACAATAATACAGTAGTATTATTGTAAAAATGGTATAACAGTAAATCTTCTATTTTTTGTGCGAATAAAAAATCAAAATAGAAAGCAAGAGTAATATCAGAGGGGCCTGGAGATGTGACTAATGAACAGAGGATATGTTATTTTAGTGCCAAGAATGTCTGCACTGTTTATTCTGGACACTATTTTGAAATTGGAATCTTTTTTAATTTGCGTGAAATTGGCCAAATTGCAAATTTCTAACCACTTTATTGGGTAGTTCAAATTGGTAAATGGACAATTTCTTGTACTCAGTTGATAGAAAAAATGGAGTTCTAAAGAAATAGCTATGAGTTTGGTCGACTGGAAGAATGGAATTGGCCGAAAATAGGGCTCAAATTCGGCGAAATCACCGATGAGTATACATCGCCAAGATCGCTAACTTCGCGGGAGCGTAATTCCGTAAGTTTTCAATCAAATTTCGTACTTTTGGTGTCATTACCATTGAGAAGAGATTATCATTTCATAAGAAAAAAAAATTTTCTTTTTTCCAAAAATCTTTTGACACCAGGAGACACTTCAGGATTTGGGGTTGTGACAGTCAAAGGGTTAATCAAGGAAATCTTTGCCAAATGGATGGACATCAAAAATTTTGCTGAGAAGTACCACCCCAACAAAGCCCAAACAAGCCATAATAGCATTGTCTAAAATGACCAGACAATGTCACATTTCTGAAACATCCTGAGGAGAAGGTAGAAGCAAAGTTCTTTGGACATACAGTGGTCCCTCAATAATCGTCCGGCTCAATAGTCGTCCTTTTCGGAAATTGTTGCGTTATTTTGTCCAAACATTGGCTCGCAAATGGTCCATTGACTCGCTAATCGTCTTTCGTCCTGGATGCATACTCACGCTCTGAGCCGCCTCGGCCTTCCTTCCCAGCCAGTGTGCCATTGTTTACCAGTGAGCGACGGTCCCCTCACTTGTTCATACGAAATATTTCATAATATTCCATTCATTTTAGTGCTTGCAAGTGCTAGATAAGCTACCATGGCTCCAAAGAAAACTCCTAGTGCCAAGCCTTTGGTAAAGAAGGTGAGAAATACGATTGAATTTAAGAAAAACATCATTGAACAATATGAAAGTGGCGTACGTGTGGGCAAACTGGCCAGGATGTATGACAAATCCCATACAACCATATCTTCCATCGTGGCCAAGAAAAAGGAAATCAAGGAAGCTGTTGTTGCAAAGGGGGTAAATATGCTGACAAAAATGAGATCACCAGTACTCAAAGATGTTGAGAAGTTATTATTGGTGTGGATAAACGAGAAACAATCTGCAGGAGATAGTCTTATGATGTCGATTATTTGTGAAAAGGCTAGGCAATTGCATGACGATTTGGTAAAGAAATTGCCTGCAACTAGTGATGTGAGTGAATTTAAGGCCAGCAAAGGCTGGTTTGAGAGATTTAAGAAGTGTACTGGCATACACAGTGTGATAAGGCATGCTGAGGCTGCCAGTTCAGACCAAAAAGCGGCTGAAAAATATGTGCAAGAATTTAAGGAGTACATAGAGGCTGAAGGACTGAAACCTGAACAAGTGTTCAATTGTGACAAAACAGGCCTCTTTTGGAAGAAAATGCCAAAGAGGACCTACATTACTCAGGAGGAAAAGGCACTGCCAGGACACAAGCCTATGAAAGACAGGCTCACGCTCATGTTCTGTGCTAATGCTAGTGGGGATTTCAAAGTGAAGCCGTTACTAGTGTACCATTCTGAAAATCCCAGAGTGTTCAAGAAAAACAATGTTATGAAGAGTAAATTGTGTGTGTTTTGGAGATCTAATAATAAGGCATTGGTCACGAGGGAAATTTTCGTCAAGTGGTTCAACGAAGTGTTTGGCCCTAGTGTGAAGAATTACCTCCTGGAAAAGAAATTGGATCCCGAGTGCCTCCTAGTAATGGACAATGCACCTGCTCATCCTCCAAACTTGGATGACCTAATTCTGAAGGAGTTTGGGTTCATCACAGTAAAGTTCTTGCCCCCGAATACCACTCCTCTCCTCCAGCCCATGGACCAGCAGGTCATTTCAAACTTTAAAAAACTCTACACCAAAGCTATGTTTGAAAGGTGCTCTAATGTGACCTCAGACACTCACTTGACCCTAAGAGATTTTTGGAAAGAACACTTCAGTATTCTCCATTGCATAAGCCTTATAGGTAAGGCTTGGGAGGGAGTGACTACCAGGACTTTGAACTCTGCTTGGAGAAACTAGTGGCCAGACTGTGTCCACAAGAGGGATTTTGAAGGGTTTGAGGCAGCCCCTGATGAGCCTATGTCACTTGTGAACTCTATTGTGGCATTGGGGAGTTCCATGGGGGTTGGATGTGAGTTTGGAGGATGTGGAAGAGTTGGTGGAGGACCACAACGAAGAGCTAACCACTGAGGAGCTGCAAGAGCTTCAGCAGGAACAGCAACAGATCGCAGCTCAGAATCTTGCTGCAGAGGAGGAGGAAGAGAGATGGAAGAAGGTGTCTTCTTCAGAAATTAAGGAGATTTTTGAAATGTGGGGTAGGATGGAAAGATTTATGGAGAAACATCACTCTGAGAAGGATGTTGCAAGCCATATCGGCAACTTATATATTTTAGGGAAGTTTTAAAGAGACACCAGAAACAGAGCTCTCTGGACAGTTTTTTTGTGAGACAGGACTCCAGTGGCTCTCAAGCTGGTCCAAGTGGCATTAAGAAACAGAGAAGAGAAGTAACCCCAGAAAAGCACTTGGTACCTGAGGTGTTGATGGAAGGGGATTCCCCTTCCAAACAGTAATTCAGTCTCTCTCCTCCTCCAGTCTTCCATACACTAAGAAGAATCACCAATAAAGGTAAGTGTTATGCTGTTAATGTTTCATTCATCATGCCCCAATGTATTGTTTATGTACTACATCTATATTTCATGTAAAAAATTTTTTTGTTTTAATACTTCTAGGTGTCAGGAACGGATTAATTGTATTTACATTATTTCTTATGGGGAAAATTGATTCATAAATCGTCTATTTCGATAATAGTCTCACTTCCAGGAACGGATTAAGGACAATAAATGAGGGACCACTGTATTTCTAGTAAATGTCAAACCTGGTGAGCTTCAACCAGGTCCAAATAGGAAAAAAGAGACAGAAAAGAGAAGGGACTCTTCTCCCAAACAATAACATTTCCTCCTCCTCCCTTCTCAGCACTATCCTAGTAGGCACTCTACTCTTTTCAGCAAAGTAAAGTGAAGTTAAATTTGCATTTATTTTATCTAATTCTTTTGTATTTATGTATGTATTTTAATATTAAGCAGTGTTTAAATTATTTTATGCAACCCCATCAATGTATAACATGCCAATAACAATAGGATTTTTTTCATGGTAACGGATTAATCGTTTTCCCTATATTTCTTATGGGAAAATTTGTTTGGTATACATAAAGTCCAAGGTCCTGGAACGGATTAAGGACGTATACAGAGGTACCACTGTATCAAACTTTGCCAATACTATTTTACTTTATATTCATCAGTTTCAATAAAATACAACATTATGAATAACCTTAACTACTACTTCAGCATCTGGGTGCATACAATATGCTATTCCTACCACCTAAATTTTTCTGGTTTCTTGCTGAACTCTGTTCATAATGATACCATCTTAAATTGACTTATACTTTACTCAGTTGGGTTCGTATCAAGGGATCATGGGGCATTGGCCTGAGAGTGCCAATGTGAATAATTTTCACATACTGTACCTTACTTGAGTTATACAGTATGCAGAAAACGGCATTACGTATTTGGATTAATAACACCAGAGGGTTAGAGAGACTCAGGATAACTGTTTGGTAACAGGGGCAGGAGGTATTAGGAGACTTGCCATATGTCCCACCTCATAATGGCTTGACTTCACATTCTCACAATTGAGAGCCAAGCAAATTTACCAATGACTGTTTATGGGCTCTTGCAAAGCACCATGGATGGGTTACATTTCATTAACAATTCAGTTTACTCACCCTCAAAAGGCTTCCTTGAGTAGTTGCTACAAGATCTGCAGCAATATACATTGTGCTGCATAGTCCACTTGTCTAGTAAAGAGTCGTATGTCAGTTTCAAGTCCATTACAAGGGTTATATTATATCCTTGTCAAGACTAACAACAACCCCCTGCTTCAGTACCATACCTTTTCTAAACTTCTTGACTTGTATGATGCAGTACACAAGACTCTATATCAAGCTCTTATGCAATGCCATGTAGTCTATTACTGCTCAACATCGTACTCCCCTGATAAAAATCTGAAAAACAGATTACAGTCTAAGTTATTCAAGTCACATTAACCGATGCTTTTACAAAGTATTAAATTCACAGATGTTTTTTACAAAGTGATGTTTTAATTTTTATAATACAGTACTGTAGCTGTAATAGGCATTTTCATTAAAGTCCATTTAGTTTGCATTACACTTGTGCACAAATGCAGTACATGTATACAGAAACTTTATATTAAAAAAATAATACTGTACTGCTGATAAAATGCAAACACTTTTAAGATATAATGGCAATCATATGTTATGTCCAAATTTTTATGGATAAGATTTAAACGTAGTTTCTAGTAACATGTTCTATTACTACAGCATATGTTAAAGATACAAAATATCACTCTCCTCTTTCTAGAGCTTCATAAAACTCTTAACAAAATTATGAAGCTAACATATTTACTGAATCTAAAGGTGACAAAATATATTTTAAAAACTCTTTCCCATATCCAAATACAATTTCTAAAAATGAATGTGAAAAAATAATTATCTCAAAAGTAAAACTCCCCCTTCCTCCTTCTGAAGCCACTGATACATACTGTACTGGAATTAAGTTCAAATGCTTTTCTTCCACAGGTCCTAATTACACAAGCAATATTCCAGAGAACTGAATCAATAGCAGAAATGTGACCAGCAACTATCTGATCACTACCTCCATCAAAAACCACATCAGCCAGGCTGTAATGGATACATAAGCCTTCAGGCTACCTAGTTAACCCGTAAATGGTCCAAGCAGATCTACGTTCACATGTGTAGTGCTACAAAAGTAGATCTACGTTTTTTTACATATTTTCAAATATAACAAAAAAAAAAGTAGATCAAAGTTTTTTTTACACATTTTCAAATGTAAAAAAACAAAAAGATCTATTTTTTTACATACTTTCAAATGTTGAAAAAAACGTATACTATATACATTTGGCCCGTTTACGGGTTAACCAGGCAAGCAACAGAAAAGTCTAGCCACAGACTGGCCAGCAGTAGTATGACAAGCCTTGAAGCCAGTCACAGGTATACTACAGGTATACTACTAATGACTACCTCGCATTAGTATTAAGATTACATAAGATTTTAATAAACTTAACCACTATTATCTTATCTAGATTTAAGTAGTTATTATGTACTAGGATTAGTCTGCCCGAAAGGCCCCAGCATGATAGTGGCTTTCCTTGTACTAATTAAACCAAAATTGTAATTATACTTTGTAACCTTTACAAGGAAATAAAATCTTTATCTTTTCTTCTTTATTAAATGTACTTGGCACCAACCACACCCCTTTAACCCCTTGACTGTCACAACCCCCAATCCTGAGGTGTCTCCTGGTGTCGCAAAATTTCAGAAAAAAAAAAAATATTCTTTCTTATGAAATGATAGAAAATCTTTTCCCGATTGTAATGACACCAAAAAAAACGAAATTTGATGGAAAACTGACGGAATTATGCTCTCGCGAAGTTAGCGACCTCGGCGATATTTACAAATCAGCGATTTCGCCCACTTTGAGCCCTATTTTCTGTTGTCCCAGTCGACCAAACTCATAGCTATTTCTTTAGAACTCCATTTTCTCTATCGATTGAGTACAAGAAACTGCCCATTTACCGATTTCAACTACCCAATAATGTGGTCAGAAATTTGCAATTTGGCCAATTTCACAAAAATTAAAAAATATGACAATTTCAAAATAAAGTCCAGAATGAACAATGCAGACATTCGTGGTTCTAAAATAACATTTTCTTTGTTCATCAGTCATGTCTCCAGGCCCCTCTGATATTACTCTTGCTTTCTATTTTGAATTTTTATTCAAAGAAAAAATAGAAGACTTACTATTATGCAGACTACTCCAATACTGTAATAATTGTATAAATAACATCAACCCATTCATGACTGCATATTAGAATGGCTAGTTGGGCATTTATTGGACAATGACATCATTTGTTTACTTTTGAACATTGGCAAAAATCAAACATTTCCCCTACTTTGAGCTCCATTTCCAGGTTCTTTTTATAGTAAAATCAATCAAAATCAGCTATATTTCTATAATATGTTTTCCATTCTATCAAATGAGACCAAGAAAACGAGAATACAACCATAAATACTATACGAAAATAGACCATTTTAATTAAAAAAAACGGTCGGAGTTTTTTTTCTCATTATGCACTGCGTGCTCCAGGATTTTTTTTATATGGTGCACACTGACCACATAGACCCATTCTCTCACATGTGGGTCTACCAGCTTTCTCCTGCTTGATTTGAAGCCGCTAGAATTTATGAGTATATATACGTCAAACACGGTACCTCGTAAGACGTATATATACGGCCGCGACAGTCAAAGGGTTAAAGAAGATCAACAATAGCCTAAAAAAACTCAGCAATTTAACTGAAATAGCTACTCTTATCTTTAAAACAGCTGAACAAGTATACTGCCTACAATACAGTGGACCCCTTGATTACATCGCCGTCAGATTTCGTAATAAGTAACGTTTTTTCTTCAAAATATTGGCTTGGTGATCATCACTGAACTTGGTATTAGTCATTCGTCCCGAACGTGTCCACATGGTCTGAGCAGCCCAACACACCATTTTCAGCCAGTGTACTACTGTTTATCAGCCAGTGAGGATGATCCCTTATGTTCATACTATACATTTTGTATTATTCCATTCTTTTTAATGCTTGTACCTGCTAAATAAGCCACCATGGGCCCAAAGAAAGCTTCTAGTGCCAGCCCTTTGGTAAAGGGGTGAGAAACACCATAAAATTCAAGAAAGACATCATTGCAAAATATGAAAGTGGACTGCGTGTCGCCGAGCTGGCCAGGTTGTATGACAAACCCCATAAAACCATCACTTCTATCGTGGCCAAGAGAAAGGAAATCAAGGAGGCTGTTGTTGCGAAAGGTGCAAATATGCTTACAAAACAGAGAACGCAAATACTCGAAGATGTGGAGACTTTGTTGTTGGTGTGGATCAACGAAAAACAATTATCTGGAGACAGTGTTATGCAGTCAATAATTTGTGAAAAGGCAAGGCAGTGGCATGATGATCTTGTAAAGAAAATGCCTGGAACTAGTGCTGATATTGGTGAATTTAAGGACAGCAAAGGCTGGTTTGAGAGATTTAAGAAGCATAGTGGCATACACAGTGTGATAAGGCATGGTGAGGCTGCCAGTTCTGACAAAAAATTGGCTGAAAAATATGTTCAGGAATTCAAGGGGTACGTAGAGCGTGAACAATTCAAACAAGTGTTCAACTGTGACGAAACAGGCCACTTTTGGAAGAAAATGCTGAAGAGGTCCTACATCACGCAGGAGGAAAAGGCACTCCCAAGACACAAGCCTATGAAAGACAGCCTCTCATGTTTTGTAGTAATGCTAGTAGGGATTTCAAAGGGAAGCCTTTACCGGTGTATCACTCTGAAAATCCCAGAGTGTTTGAGAAAAACAGTGTCGCCAAGAGTAAATTGTGTGCGATGTGGAAGACAAACAGTAAGGCATGGGTCACGAGGGACATTTTCCTTCACTGGTTCAATGTTTGGCCCCAGTGTGAAGAAATACCTCCTGGAAAATAAATTGGAACTGAAGTGCCTCCTGGGTAATGGACAATGTTCCTGCTCATCCTCCAGACTTGGAAGAGTAAATGGTGCAGGAGTTTCATTTCATCAAGGTGAAGTCCTTACTCCCTAATACCACTCCTCTCCTCCAGCCCATGGACCAGCAGGTCATTTCAAATTTCAAAAAACTGTACACCAAAGCAGTTTCAACAGTGCTTTCAAGTGACCTCAGACACTGAATTGACCTTAAGAGAGTTCTGGAGGGATCACCTCAATATCCTCCACTGCATAAACCTTATAGGTAAGGCTTGGGAGGGAGTGACTACCAGGACTTTGAACTCTGCTTGGAGAAAACTGTGGCCACAATGTATACAAGAGAGGAATTTTGAAGGGTTTGGGGCTGACCCTGAGGAGCCTATGCCAGTTGTGGAAAGTATTGTGGCATTGGGGAACTCCATAGGGTTGGATGTGAGTTTCGAGGATGTGGAAGAGTTGGTGGAGGACCATGATAAAGAGCTAACCACTACAGAGCTGCAAGAGCTTCATCTGCAACAGCAACAGACCACAGGTCAGGAAAGTGCTTCAGAGGAGGAGGAAGAGAGATGGAGGAAAGTGCCTTCTTCAAAGCTTAAAATTTGTACAATGTGGACGAAGGTGCAAACATTTATGGATGAACTTCACCCTGACAAAGCCGTTGCAGGCCATGTTTGCAACATGTACAATGACAATGTTGTGTCTCATTTTAGGGAAGTTTTAAAGAAACGCCAGATACAGACCTCTCTGGAACACTTTTTTGAGCGACAGGGACCCAGTGACTCTCAAGCTGGTCCAAGTGGCATTAAAAAACAAAGAAGGGAAGTAACCCTGGAAAAGGACTTGGTACCTGAAGTCTTTATGGAAGGGGATTCCCCTTCCAAACATTAGTACACCTCCATCCTCTCCCCTCCTCCCATTTCATCACTCATCAATAAGTCTTCAATAAAGGTAAGTGTCATTTTAGTATTGTTTTATTCTGCATGTCTCATTGTTTTAGTGTAGGGAAATGTATATTTCATGTAAAAAAAAATATTTTTTTTAATACTTTTGGGTGTCTGGAATGGATTAATTGGATTTCCATTACAGTATTACTTTTGGGGAAAATTAATTCGGAAATTGTCAGATTCGGGTTTTAAACACTCTCTCTGGAACGGATTAATTACGAAAACCGGGGGTCCACTGAAATTGCAATGACACATGTAATAACAAATACAGTGGATCCCCGACATTCAATGGCATCGACATTCGATGCATTTTAACGCAAAAATTTCGCCTCGACATTCGATAC